TATTCATCTATAACATCATTCAACTTCATCAAAACCATCAATTTCGAGTAAGTTTTTCGAGTTTTTGATCAATTTTGAGTTTTAGTGCAAATGTATAGAAATAAATAATTATGGTTAGAAATGTGTAGAAATTACATGTAACACAGTTTAGACATAGTGTATAACTTGTTTGTTGGTTGGAGCTTATAATTTGTTAGTTCCATGATTCTATGATTGTCCATGGCTCTATGATTGGCTAAATTTTGGTAAAACATGATTCTGCAGTGATGTTAAGCAGGATGTTATAACATCTCCATCTGCTGTGGTGACAGAATTGTTGTGGTGTGTTTTAATTTGAATGTCATGCTGGATGTCGTGACATCCATCTGCTGTGGTGACAGAACTGTTGTCATGTGTTTTAATCAGGATGTCATTACCAATGTCATGACATCGCTGTCTGGTACAATAAGAACTAATGACAGGTACTGATGTCCTGTGTTTTAATCAGGATGTCATCACCAATGTCATGACATCGCTGCCTGGTACAGTAGGAGCTATTTTATATCACTTGACAGAAGTGCTTTGGATATACCTCATCAGTATGTGCAGACCAAAGAGATTCATTAGGAACAAAGTGTAGATTTAATTGGTGTTCATAAAAAGGATCTCTAAGACTTTTTAGGAAACTATAATATGCTTGTTTCTACTGTTATGAAAAAGATTCTGCAGGAGTGTTCAGCAGGGTGAGTTTGGTCACCTAAGAACAAAGTGTGTTGGATGTCATGCTGGATGTTATGACTTCAAGCGTATGACATCAGGGCGCGTGTTTTAGTTTTCTGGTATTTTACCTGATATATCTCAGGCTAGAATTTAGGAAGCCTATTATGGCTCCTTAGTTGTGATAGACATATTTGTGAGTGAAGAACTTTGTTCTTCACGTGTGTTTAGGAGTCTTAGGATTCCTTGTGTGCCAAGCAATTGTCTGTTGTATAATTGCATTGGTTTAATGTGTATGAATTGTTGTGTTCATTGTGTCACTCAAAGCTTTTAAGCAAGAGTGTATTGTCCTTGATTGAAGCTATTAAGCAAAATCAAGTATTGTGACTTTGAAGAGTGTCTTCTAAAGTCTGTTTTTGTATTGAATTATTTATCACTGCGGTGATTGAGGGGGAGTGAGCGGGGTCTCTTGTCTAGTGGATTCTAGGCAAAAGTGTCATTGGGTAGGTCTTAAGTGAAGAGTGCAAATGAGTTGTTTGACTCTGAATTAATTCTACTAATAATGAATTTCCTCCTTGGCTTGGTAGCCCCCAAATGTAAGTGAGGTTGCACCGAACTGGGTAACCAATTCATTGTGTTATTTATCTTTCAGCATTTACAATTCTGCACAATTTAAATGTTTAGATAAATAGTCTGTCTGTCTGCTGATGTCACAACAGGCGCCATGACATTGGTACAATTTAAAGTAGTTTAAATTGGTCACGGTCTATCCTCGTCCTTGTTGAGCAGAGATCAATGTTCTTGGGACATATGAGATCTGCATACCAGAATTTCATAATTAGATCATATTTTTGTAAACTTGCATGTGGTACATTCGCCATTGACGCAACTTCTGAGTTGCAGAAAATTCTGGAGATGCATCTCCAGAATGTTTCAATGTTTCATATACTGCAGGAAATTTTGGAGGTGCATCTTCGGAATTATTCAATGTTTTAGTTTAATGGTGCTTCCATAGGTGCATATCCGGAATGTTTCAATATTTTAGTTTAATGGTGCTTCCAGAGATGCATCTCCGAAATTTCCGTCAGTATGTTTTTTTAATCTTTTTGCTTGTGTATGTTATTTGTATGCACTAATGATATGCCTTATTTTACCTTACAGGCATAATGGCTGACAGAGTTGACAGTCTCAGACATGAAAGGGTTGCTTAGCATGTATCCGTTTGACAGGAGCGGAGCCCGTAGGTTCCAGAGGCTCCATGTTCCGTTCTCAGGCTCGTGCTTCACCTCAGACCACTCCACCTTCTTCTTCTTCCTATAGGATACGAGATTCACCATTTGACATGTCACATCTCCCATCCTCCCGCAGGCGTGAGGATTCACTAGTGCCACCTCCTACTAATGATATTGATGATCGAGAACCACCTCCCACTAACGATGCTGCTTATCCAGTTCTACCTCTGAATAGTGAGGCTGCTGAGGTTACTGAGCTAGAGGCTTTTGGAGGAGGTCCATTTGATTTGTCCTTACTTCCTATGTACCCGACCATACTGCCAAACATATTTAGAACGGAGAGGCAACATTAGTTGGATTCTTTATTTTTTATGCATTAGTTTTAATTGCTGACATTGATAATTTATGATATTGAATATTATTGACATTGATTATTTGTGACAAATTTCAAGAGCGTAATCCCTAGAAGTTTTTTAACCACAGAAGGAAGATTACTGCATTGTCTCAGCCGAATGAGGATTGGTTTCAATTATTTCCATCCTTATCTAGTCTGAAGGACCTATGCATGATCAGTTACACTCTTGTCAACCACGGGATGCTTAATGCATTTGTGGAGAGATGTCACTCATAAACCTCTTCGTTTCATCTCCCGCATGATGAGATGTATATCACACTAGATGGTGCCTCGTGTTTACTACATCTTCTGATCAGAGAGAGATTCCTAAATCATGGGAGGATGACCAAAGACGAAGAAGTCGAGATGATGGTAGAGCATCTAGGGGAGGCGATGTAGAAAGTGGATAAGACCGGGGGTGCTCATGCTAGTTTTGAGTTCTTAGGGAAGCTCTATCAGGATGAGATCTTGAAGGGATAACATTCTCATAGTGATGATCAGTAGGTGGCAGTCCACAGGACGCATGCTTTAAGAGCATAATTCTTTTTTTTTGTTGACACTCGCACTTTTATGGACAAGAGTGTCATTTATACTGATGTTGTCTACCTACGATACTTCTTGGATCTATTGCGGATCCATGAGTACAATTGGGGGCGACTTGCCTGGTCTATCTGTATTTTAAGTTGAGAGAGGATTGTATGTGGAAGACGAAGCAGGTCACAGGCAGCGTGACACTATTGGTGGTAATAATTCCTGATCCTTGAATGTTTTTTTTTATCATTTTCATTTCTAATTTGCAAAACCATTGTTGATGATTCGTGTGTTCTAAACTTTTTTCTTTCAGACTTGGATCCTCTAGCACTTCCCACACATCGCTGGCTGAGAGAGTGTGCCTAAATACACTGAGGATATGCTGCGTGCTACTTCTTTTATCCTGCTCAGAGGGAAGTAGGCGGTCGAGCCTTTCAGATTCTATCTTGATATTTTGGTTGCTAAGGACATTCATTCCAACAACTACGTTGATCACCGTCAGATGCGACCATTTGAAGAGACAGTGTTATACTATGGATCGTTGTCTTGCGGGCCGCGTCTCACTGCTCCTCATCTTCCCGAGCGCGACATGCGGCAGTTCGACTACACCCAGACTATTCCCAGGCACCCTACTGTTTCTGCTCCTCCTACCTTGACACATTGACAGATATGGGAGATGTTTGATGATTATGCGATTCATTTGGTACCGAAGGAGACACGGGCTACCATAGCCAAGAGCGGCTAGAGCTACGTCAAGGGGTACATCAAATGGTTCTTCAGGGTGTCACATTCGTACATGGTGCGTACTGCTCCAGGAGATTCAGCGAGACCCACTCATTAAGAGATACTAGAGGAGGAGCAAACTCAACTAGATCATAATGATGATGTCTTGCCTAGGTGTCATCCCATAATGGAGATTGCGCGGGCATGCATTGACAAGGGTATCTTCCCTGATGAGTCTGGTGTCAGGCGAGTCCTAGATGCCATCATGGCGGAGGTACATTGGGCATTATTGTACCGAAGACATCGCTGGAGGACAGGGGGATTGATGGCCAATGAGGCATAGCAGGAAGAGGAGGTAGAGGAGTTGTTGTCAGACACACATAATAGTAGTCTCTTATTATTTTGTTGTAGTATTATACTATCTACTTTATTTTGACGATTTTACTATATTTTGGATCTCGATTGTACGACATTTTCTACATATATTGCTATTTTATTTTCAACACAAACAATATTAGTCTCTTATTATTTTATACGTCTATTTTTTTGGATCGTACGTGATATTTCATCTGAACACAAATACACAACTTATAGTAAAAAATACCTGTTCTGATACATTTCATAGATGTATCTCTGGAATATTCACGGAGATACATCTCCGAAATAATTCAAATGTAAATGACTTCTGAATGGATTGAATTGAATGTTTAAAATTGTTTAAGAGATGCATCTCCAAAATATTTAAACGTTTATTTAGAAATAGATACGTCCGAAGATATATTTTTAAAAACTACAAATATTTAAATAATTTTACATGATAGTTAAAAACTATGTATTAAGAAATCCTCAAACAAAATTATGATTAAATAAAAAATCCTAAGCCCTATTTGGGGCAAAAAAATTTTAAAAACAAAATCATTATCATTGCTTTTGATGGTTGTTTATAAAGTTTTTATTTTATTTTTAGTTTATGTCCTCTTGTTTTAGTGTGGAAGCTTCTTTTTCTTCTCCAAAGTCACTTTGAAAAAATACTTTTTTAAGGGGAAAAGACCACTATATTTGTGTCCTCTAAATAACAAGCTCGGTTGTGCAAAATTATAAGCATACTGAAATATAAGTATAAAAGCTAGACTAAGAGAGTGTTAAGATATACTCATTAAATTTGCCACTGCTTTTTTTTTTCTCTTGAAATAAGCACAACACACCCTAAAGACCAAAGAAACCATAAATCACAACTTGTACATTTGGAAATGCAGCTCCAAAACGTCTCTTATCTAACCAAACACTAAATTGCATTAGAATATGCATATCTTTTTTTTTTTTCATATATAGATACACTTATAAAACAATTAATCAAAACCAAGATACAACAACATAGAAAATGTTACAACTATAATCTAATTAGAAGTCTACTCTCTCCGGAACTATTTTGAAGGAGCGACAGGTTTGGTTAACTTGAGTGTCAATTCTAGTTCCCCGGATTCGACTTCACGAAGCCTTAACCAAACATTTTGCACAACCGCGCCATTAACGCAATTGATACTGCTTTCGCGTACAAGACAGTTATCAGTATCAGGTATAACCTTTCGTAACGTTGTCTCGCCGGAAGAGACTTTTAAAATATCTCTTAATCTTGCTGCGGAGACTAATGGTTGAAGGTTGATAAATGCATTTCCCATCTTGTCATCAGCTTTCAAAAGATCTTTATCAAATACTTCCTATATTACAATGCAACTTAGTTAAGAAAATTGATCAATGTGCATCACAGGTATAGTAAAATACACCAACTAGAGTACCTTCCATGCGAAATCGAGTAATAAAGTAGGCATTGTAAATATGAAGAAACTCTCACCAAATTGAGAACTCCCAAGGGTTCTGTCAAAGTGAAATTCAGCTCTTCATTCCAGACAGGATTCAAGCAGCTATTAATGACCTTGGTCTTTGCAGTCTGGTACAGTTTAACCAATGAAATCACTTAATATTATGATAAATAATAAGCTATGTAGCAAGGAGACTTCTGAAAAATGCGTGTCTCTGTCAGAGTCGGCGTCTGAAACTAACACCAACTTGTGATCACGTTTATTGTATTCATTTTTTCAAATTATTAACAGTGTCAGTATTGTGTTTCTGGTGTCTAGGCTTCCTAGAAATTAAAGCTTAATACCCTTTTGGTCTCATACGTTTCAGGGTCTCTTAACTTTAAAAAGAATCGTATTGATCTCTTAACTCTTTAAAAAGTACCATGTACTTCCTTTTCCTCAAATTAGTGATGAAAAAACACATAAATAGATCGCTAAAGTTGTCGCTAATTACCCGAAAAAGACAAACATGATAAGGGATTAAAATGAACCCCAAGATCTTCCGGGATCAAAAGGTATTAAACCATATAATATACTACTAGGCAATGTTAAGGGCCATTTGGAAGACCATGCATCTTCAAAGTTTATAAAGACTTTATCTAATGACATGAGAACTAACATAGTATTTCAATACACTTGTAAATATATAACATGCCTATAAGTGTGTTTAACAATTAGCTGCCAAAAACAGCTTCTGATCATAAGCATTTCACCTCTCCAAAATAGCTCATTCAATAAGCAATTACTTAACCTGTTTATCCAAATATGTTATGTAAGAGCTATTTGTAGGACCGACACTTAAGCCTAATTGTGTGTTTAGTACATATCAGTGTGGATTCTGGTGTCTGTGTCCATGCTACATAAATTCAAGAGAAACAAACTAAAAATGAAAATGGAATATAAATCATAGTTACCTGATTGCCTAGTTTGAGCACAACATAAGGATCACTTGTCTTGAAGTCCCTAATCACCAATCTTCTTCCTTGCACAACTATGACTTTTAGCACCCCCAATTGTTCACTCATTATACTCCTAACAAAAAATTGAGTTTCTTATAAAGTAAATAAACCTAGAAACCCAGCAACTACAAATCAGAGAAAGACAATAAAAAAAACCATTAATAATTCAATGGCTATGGTAAATAATATTAAATAAATTACAAGATCCAAACACTAAGTACTGAAAAGATGAACTAGTTTTAGCATTTAGCAACATTGATTCAAGAGATTGAGTAAAGGAAGAAGAACTCACCAATGAATGAATAATATGTGTTTTTTATGATCTGTAATTTAGTATTTGTTTATGATTTATGTGATTGAGCAACCAGCATCATCAGAATTTATGGATGAAAGGATTGGTGGAACAAGAACAACCTTTGTTGTTTCACCGGCAGTAACAGGTGGTCAAAGGACAAGTGTGTTTTTTACTATAGTGAATGTGTTGATTCATTGTAGATGTGAAACAGACACGTGTCGGTCAAAGTCATTATTCTGAATATGGACTGTGTGTACTTGTTTTGTCTTCTGTTGTGTTGGCTGTAGGTTTGACCAGTCTTGTTCTTGTTTGATTCCCTTGTCACCTTTTGATTTTTCTATATAAATTACTTTTTCTTTTTAAATATTTAAAATTTAAATTTTGAGTAATTTTAAATTAATAGTTGAGCTTGTAGTCAATTGTAGTTAAAGATAAATGATTTGAATCTTGTTAAATTAAATTAATTAGCTGTACAAAAATTTTAAATGCATGAATATAAAATATGCCACATCTCATTTATTTATTTTTTAAAATAATAAATTTTTTAGCATTTATTGTAAACTACTTTAAAAAAGTGATTTGATTTTACTTATTTAACAACAAAATATTATTATCATTTCTCTTAAAAACCGGAGAACTAAAGTAGAAAAAAAGTTGAGTAACATAGTATCTTAAACATACAAAATGAGAATTAATCCCTATAATTAAAGATTGAGATTGTGATTCAATTTGGTAAAAAAAAAATGAATAGATAGCTGATATAAATAACTTATAGGATGTAATTTATAAACTAATTAGTAGTTGAAAATATTAGCACTTGAACTATATGGTCTAAAAAAACTATGAAATGATATTAGATATATTTTATTAATATTAAATTTTTTAATATTATATTGAGGGAAAATTTGAGAGAGATGATAATAAATTAAACTATTTTTGAATTAATTTATAAAAATAAATTATAAATTAAGATAAGTAAGTAATAATTTTGTGTTAAATAAATTCTTTTAAGTTATATGAAATTTTAAACTATAAGTTAATTTATTTTGTTTGTCAAATAGAATTTCATTTAGTATATTTGTCGATTGTTTCTTTATTATAAAAAAATTACAATTATTCATTCGAATTAGCATAGTATATATTAAATAAATCAAATGTTGGAAGCCAATTTATATATTGGAAAGAGTTTTTCGGCATCGAACAACAGGAAAGATCTACGTATTTATAAATTCAAATAATGGAACAAGTTATGAATAAAAGGTGCATGTATAACTTGTGAATATACTGTTAGATAATTCTTCTATGTCGAATGGATCCAGACTGAATCGTGAACGAAATCACTTTCCTTAAAAGTATTTCAAGCACACTCTCAGATTGTCTTAGAGTTGGAACGGCCTGAATACCCAGGATAAGTCAGCCTTTTTCTCGAAACTGCACAAGACTGATGAAGTTTCGAATGCAAGGAAAATGTTGGAATTATATGGAAGAGGATTTCAGAATTTGGAGTGAATGATTTCGAATTATGAAACATATATTTATAGCCATGCATGTGTCTTTTCAGAAGGTTGCAATTCTTCATAAACACACTCTCTAATGAGCATTTGCAATGGTTCACATAAAATATCATGCACCACTTCGTCAAGTGTCATGTATTTCAAATTCAAATTCAAAATCAAACTCTAGGCAGCGAATAAGTCTGAGCGATAATTAAAAATTAAATTCGCAGTATACCGGCCGAAGGCCGGTCCGCCCGCCGGAGGCGGCCGGAGCGCCACCGGCGCCGCCTCATTAACGCCGCGAATAGCCCGATTGCTCCGATGCGTCGTGCCTAAGTGCTCAAGTGCCGTCTACAAGCCGCCACTAGCGCCTCTACGCCCACGCCCCCGGTTCCGGTTCCGGTTCCGGAGCCGGAGCCGGAGCCGGAGCCGGTGTCGCCGGTGGCGACACCGGCGAGGGGTGTTTTGTATGAGACAAGTGACATAAGTTTTGGCACCACCACATGTGACTATGTGGCACTTTATCCTTTTTGGCTCTTTTGGAAATTACATTGTTCCAAGTGCCTTATAAATGCTATTTAATTTTACTCCTCTTCCAATGTGGGACTAAGCATTTATTATAACACCCACTTTGTCATTTTGGAACAACTTTAATGGAAATAAATTATTATTTCCAACAATCCCCCACTTGTTCTAATAATGACAAAATAATAATTCCAGAAATGGGACATAAGAAGTATTAATACAGTTAAGTATCTTTCGATTTTAAACTTAACCTTAGTAAGAATAACACAAGGTTTAATCGGAATATTAGGTAGCAATGCTTTTAAACCATGAATCCATTTGAATAGACCGGTGTTACCTTACACACACTCCTTAAAGATTCTTCCTCTGCATAACTCGCTTAGCACTTATTTATGGCCATGTGCTATCCTGTTTCATGAATTTTTCATGAGAGAAACTCCAACTCTCACTTTGAGACGGCACCATCTCATAATTCACATAGGTGAAGTTCATATAGTATCTGTTTCCAATAGATACGTACCCTCGGTATTGAACTTCATTAAGAGTTTAAGATAAAACTCAACCCTCTTTTCTAATGTCAACATAATTATGAAATGTTAGACAATTATCCAAATCAACGACTTGTTGTTACCCATTGAAAATCTTAACGTTAATGTTCTGTTAACTTAAGATTGGGTTGCCGCCATTGTCGGAACTCTTACTCAAGGAGTTTCAACCCCATACCTCTCGAGGTTGTTCTTACTAAGTCTCTGGCCAGCGGCTTAGTAAACGGATCAGCCAAATTATAGCTTGTTCGTATATACGTAAGTGAAATGATTCCATCCTTAATCAGTTTTCTTACGAACGAATGTCTAAGTCCTATATGCCTGGACTTTCCATTATACACTTCGCTAAATGCTCTTGCCAAAGTGGCCTGACTATCGCAGTGTATCATTACCTTTGAAACATTGTCTTTAGCCAATGGAACTTCCAAAAGAAGATCCCTCAACCACTCTGCCTCTTGACTAGCGGAAGCGAGAGCCACGAATTCTGATTCCATGGTCGAAAGAGTAATGCATGTTTGTTTCTTGCTCTTCCAGGAAATTGCTCCTCCAGCTAGTGTAAATATCCACCCAGTTGTAGATTTGTGATTTCCCACGTCAGAGATCCAACTGGCATCGGTATATCCTTCTAGTATAGCAGGAAACCTACCATAATGAAGACCAAGATCTTTGGTTTTCAACAAATAACCAAATATCCTCGTGATTGCCTTCCAATGTTCATTACTTGGATTACTAGTAAATCTACTCATTTTACTAACTGCAAATGATATATCAGGTCTAGTACATTGCATTAAGTACATAAGACATCCGATCGCACTTGCATATTCTAATTGAGCCACTGCCCTTCCATCATTCTTTTCAAGTTTGATTACATGATCAAATGGAGTAGTTACTTCCTTGAATTTCAGGTGTTTGAACTTATCAAGCATTTTCTCAATATAATGTGTTTGATTAAGTTCATAACCCCCACTATTTTGCTTAACTTTTATTCCTAAAATTGTGTCAACAAGCCCAAGATCTTTCATCTTGAAAGTGGAAGTTAGAAACCTTTTTGTTTCTAGAATTCCATTAAGTCTATTGCTAATTATTAGCATGTCATCAACATAAAGACACAAAAATATTACAGTGTTATTATACACTTTTGTATATAAACACTTGTCACAAGAATTAGGAATAAATCCATTTGACATTATCGTAGAGTCAAACTTTTGATGCCATTGTTTTGGTGCTTGTTTTAAGCCATATAGAGATTTGACAAGTTTGCACACCTTCTGTTCATTTCCAGGAAGGACGTGTCCTTCTGGTTGTTCCATGTAGATTTCCTCATCGAGGTCTCCGTTTAGGAATGCTGTTTTAACATCCATTTGATGAACAATCAGATCATTTAAAGATGCTAAAGCAAACAACAACCTTATAGTGGTTGTTCTCGCTACAGGTGCATAAGTGTCAAAATAATCTATACCTTCCTTTTGTCTAAATCCTTTTGCCACTAATCTTGCTTTATAAGTGTTTAATGTACCATCACTATGATATTTCTTTTTAAACACCCACTTGCATCCAATGGGTCTTGATCCCTTTGGTAAATCAACAAGTTCCCAAGTGTGGTTGGACATAATTGAATCCATTTCATCTCGGATAGCATCTTTCCAAAAAGAGGAGTCTCTTGAAGCTATTGCTTCCTTATAAGTTTTAGGATCTTCCCCTACTTGAAGAATTACCGGAATGCTTTTAATAAAATTTGTATTATTTCCTTCAACCAGATAAAATGAAATGGATTGAGAATCAATTTCGTCTGGTCCTAGGTTCTTTATTTTCCGGACTCTTTTGCTTATCCTAGGTTCGGGTCGTGGTTCATTTATTCGAGATGTGTCTTCAGGTTGTATTTCTACAATCCGAGAAGAGTCCTTTTCACAAGATTCTTTGTTTATGGCCGACTCTGATTCTTTATCCTTAGTTATAAGGTTTTCAAAGAATTCTACATCCCGGGATTCAACAATAATATTAGACTCTAAATTTAACAGTCTATATGCTTTGCTATTTTGTGCATATCCTACAAATGCACATCTTATCCCTCGAGGACCCAACTTGGTTCTCTTAGGATCCATGTTTTTGTAATATGCCACACACCCCCACACCTTAAAGTAGCCAATATTTGGTGTCATGCCCTTCCATACCTCATATGGAGAAATTCCACTTTTCTTTAAGGGA